CCTTCAAAGATGAGATCAAGCAGATGTACTCCTCTGCAATCACATATGGTATTGAATCTAAATCCTCCAGGGCTAACATCAACCATCTAGCCACTCGCAGAGAGCTAGATGCCATGGTTGAAGCCCTTGGAGATATCATGCATAAACACACAGACCAACTCCTCAAAGAAGCCCGAGCAAACAACGAAGCAATAAGAGACTGCACTTCAAAGCTCGTCAAAGAGGGTAACACCTTCAGAACCGAACTTTATCAATGTGTGTCTAAATTGAAATGGGCTACAGGGACAGATATCCACGAAGCCTCTGTGGTTGCTGAGGAGGTCATCGAGAAAATGGAGAAGGCGGCTACCAGAATCCTAAGGAGATTGAAGAAGGCTCCCCTTGTTACTTGCAAAGCAGAAGCCACCAAAATCCATGACGATCAAGGAGGTGATGACCATGATCGTCATGAGGGGGAGAAGARGACAGAGAAGAAAGCTGAAGAGCCCAAGAAAACAACTTCTGCCAAACCACTCAAGATAGTGGACTCTGCAGCAGCCTTGTTCTCAAAAGAAAAAGCACCAGAGCCTAAGGGGAAAGGCAAGGGCAAAGCTGTAGAGGAGTCGCCACAGAGGAGGTCGTCAAGCTCAGAGACGCCAGAGGAGATAAACGAAGAAGAATATGACGACCCAGACCTCGTTCAAGCGTTAAAGGCTTCTTTGGCAGAGGCAAAGGCAAGAAGGGGCAGAGGCCCAATCCCCAGAGCTGGAGAAGGCTCTTCCTCCAAGATAGCGAAGGAGGAAACGTCCACGGGTACGTTYGACGSTCTGGTAGGAACTGTCAAGCCAATCCTACCAGAGGGGTCCACCCAGAGGCCGATACTAGAAGAAGAAGAAACCAGAATACCAGAATCTGCCACAGTGGGAAGGGTTTCTGAGATCCTTGAATTGATGAGCAAGATTCCTATGCAGAAGGTGCGGACAGAGCCCGTAACCACTGTTGAGGAGATTCTGTGGTGGCGTTACTCTGCCATGGACACAGAGCCCCCTTACGATCCAGAGCTTACAGGAATGCCTTCTGTAGCTGCAAAGTTCCACTTCTCAAGACTCACAAGGCCACGAGAGCAGGTCTTCTCAGAGCATGTAATAACTTCCCTTGAAACCATTTCTCCAAGGACTATGCTCAAGAAGACCGCGCTCTATGCTCAATATGTTGTGAAGAGGAATGACGACAACCTATACACGTTCACAGATGCTGACCTCCACAACCTCTGTGTATTTGACCTTATCTTCTTGCATAAAATTCTTAACAAATACATGGAGAAGAGGTCAACATATTCGATTTCCCTCAGAAGGCTGATCCAAGTTATGCATGCTCAAGTAAAATACTACAGCCAGAAGGACTTCGAAATCGCAATGAGGTTGGCCCAAAAAGATTTGAAGATTTCCCCTTCGAAGAACAGGCCAAGGTGGATACTTAGATTTCATCCAAACACCATTGTCTGCAATCCCGTCTTTAGGTTTGTGTTCTTGGACAAGAATGACATTCTAAGGTTCTTTGATCCAACAGAGGTAAACAAATATGCCACAGAGACTCTTGAGTGGGTGTTCAACAAAGTGGCAGCAGAGGTGCACAGAGGGCATCTAAGGGCGAACGAAGTGTCTGGTATTCTGGAAGCGATCAAAGTTCAAGTCAACTTCAGAGAATGGATATTCAACGTCTACAGAACTATCAAGTCTGATCTGGTATATGCCGTAGATGACTATCCAGACTCTGCTGTGGGTTAATCTTCTGTAATAGTATTGGCCTGAGAAACAAAATTTTCTATTATTTCAATATTGTAATTCTTTTCAGAGGATGAGTTTAATCTCCTCTTGTATTTCTTTTATTAGTCATTTCTTGTATTCATTTGTCTAATTTTACTTTTTCATACTTAGGGGGAGATTGTTAGCTCTGTTTTTCATCTCTTGTAAAAGTATGGAAAAAGTACCGCAAGTGTTGACAGAAGCTGATTTTCCACAGAATACAACAGAGGACCAACGACAGAAGCTGTTTCATCGTGCAAGTAAAGTATGACAGAGCCTCTGATGTCTCTCACAGAGGTTCTGTAAAATGGTCCTCTGTCAATAAGAACAAGCAAGTCTATTACGGCAGAGCCTCTGAGGTGGCTCACAGAGGGTCTGCAGTTTCGTCTTCTGTGAAGATCCTCTCCCAACTGTTTTTCAGAGGTTGTTAGCTGCATGTGCTTCTCACGTGACTAGCTCTTTAATCGACTTTATTTGGATGGCTTATATGTTCTCACACGTCTTTTTCATGTCAGTAAGGTCGTTAGGGTTTAGCATAAATAACAGCTTAGGCCTTTGTATTTAGTGTGCTTCCGGATTGTAATCGTCTAATTTTTCAATCAATTGAAAAACCTTTGAAGCTATTCTCTCGTGTTCATCATTTTCATATACTGTGTGTTCTTGATTCTTACTCTATTTGTTCTTATATTGTTTCCRCTGCACTTTGATTGTCTTAAAGATCATCCAGAGTATTTGATTGATATCAAAACTGAGTTTACAGGTCCTAACAGGTTCTTTGTTTTTGTTTGTGTATACATCTTAGTCTAGATAAAAACAACAAAAGTAGATCAATGGTCTATTGTTTTATGTCTATTGTTTTATTATTACGTTTGTAAAAGGGAGCCCATGAAAGCCTTGCCTTTTGTGCTTCTATATCTTGTGTGCTATCTACATCCATGTTGATATTGTATTCTGTTAATGGACTTCTAAAAAGATCTTGTGYTGAAAACCATGGAGTTGCTATCCTTCCACATTAGGACTTAAATTGAGCAAATGGAAGCTACAGATGCAAATATAGAAGATTTCCAAGTATATTAATATGAATTCACAYAATCTATGATCCATTTTCCCTGAATCAGTCTCCCACTTAATGTATTTGCGATAAATGATATCATTAAAAGAACAAATATATTTCTTGCGTATTAGGTTGTTTGAACTTTGARACTTGTAAAATCTGCATTGATCACTTTTCTTTGTTTTAGGTAGTACAAAATGAAGATGGTGTCAAGATGGAAAAGCTTGACAACTTGACAAAAATGGGTTCTGTAGAAGAAACAAGCCATTATAGTGAAGTTGTTAACAATAAAAGATTATGTTACTTCATCACCACTGGTTGATGAAGATATTGCAGCTTTGGAGGCATTAACTATGGTTCCCTTAAATGACATTAGAGAGAGTGAGGCTATCAAGCAAAAGCCTATCCCTCCTCCTGGATCTAGGCAGAGAATATATGAAATTGATCCACCCTTGCGTAATCATCGAGAACATCTTGATTAGATATATATTTCAGTTTCTAGATATATATCCAAAGACGCCACTTCATTTCCACCCTTAAACTCTTTTCATACACCAGCTTGGTAGTCAAATATTTCTTTAATCAATCACAAGCAAACATATTAGTATCGAGCAATTAATGTTGTATGAGATAAATGAAAATTTTGATATACCTCACGAAAGTCCTATCAATACACTTCTACCTCCCATTCCTTCATAGACCCTCAACTTCCCCACTTCGTTTATAACATCCTCCATTTCTTTTGTTAGGCGTTGAGCCAACTCTCTAAACAAGGTTGAACCTCCACCCAAAATGACATTCCTCTCCATAGCGTCGACAAGATTAGAATCTAGCGCAATACTATGAGTTCAGATAAGAGTATGAATACCCTTATCCGAACTATCTCCATGTAGCTAAAAAAACARGTATACTTCTCTAATGCAAGTTTTACTTGTACTTCATCCGGTACTAGGTATGTCTAGTGGTGGACAATTTTACTCTCCTCTACAAAGTCTTGAGCCACATACTCGAGAATCTCATTGACGTATTTCCTTCAATGAGCCATTGTCAGCTCATGTGCTTGTTTGCCAAGAAGATTCATAAGATCATCTGTGATATCTGAACCACCTGTTTCTTCGACTTATGTATAGAAATGTCATTGGAACCCGGGAGAATTTGAGTTAAACTTTCCCCAATTTCCACAGTAACACTTGTTGGACGATTAACAGAGTACATGGATAGAACAAGTGGCCTAGCCACAAGTACGGAACGGAATTCAAACTTCTCCAACATTATTTCAATCATCTTTTATGTCTGTCGTCGATTGCTATTACCAGCCTCAGTAATGATCACATCATGTTCGGATGGATCAATTTCAAGCTCCTTTAAAAAAGTGTGTTCCCACACATTTTCCGTCTTTTTGTGATGATTCCACGTTTTGTAGGCCTATCCAAGTTCAACATAGATCAATTGGCTAGTGCCCTCTCTCCAATATGAGGTATCATCCTGATATTGGCCTGAATATATAAGAGAGACTGACATCTACGATTCCCTATGATGTTGGGGAAGATTGTATCCCTCAGCCTGTAGAGTAGGGGTGTGTAGAAAATCAATCGATCTAATTGGAACCAATTGATCTAATTAGAATCGACCGACCGTAATTGGATATCCAATTGTAATTGGATATCCAATTGTAATTGGATCGGATCAGATCGAATTGAATATTTCAACATCCAATTTGGATCGGTCGGTTCTCGGATGGCAGTCTAGAACCGACCATAACCGAACCGGTCAACATCCAATGACCATCCAACTATCATCCAATCAATTTATTTTCAAATTGCTTAAATCGGAATTTGTTTTTTGTGAGGCTTTGAATTTTTAACTTCCATTGTGTTGGTTTTAACACATTAAAAGTGATTAATTAACTTGTATCATTGTTAGAGACATGGATTGAATTAACACATTTGATGGATCCAATCCCATCGGATGGAACCGAACCGATCCAATCATCCATTGGATTAGATTGAATCGGTTATCCAATGTTAACCAGATCAGATCGGTTGGTAGATTCTAATGGATGATTAGATCGGTTCGGTTCCCCTCACATCCAATGGATATCAACCCATGAACAGGCCTAATATACCTTATATATTAGAGAAAGGGCACTAGCCAATCAATCTATGTTGAACTTGGATAGGCCTATAAAACGTGGAATCAACACGAACTTTGAGAAGACGGAAAACGTGTGGGAACACACTTTTTTAAAGGAGCTTGAAATTGATCCATCCGAACATGATGTGATCATTACTGAGGCTGCTAATAGCCATCGACAGCAGACAGAAAAGATGGTTAAATTAATGTTGGAGAAGTTTGAATTCCGTTCTGTACTTGTGGCTAGGCCACTTGTCCTATCCATGTACTCTGTTAATCGTCTAACAAGTGTTGCTGTGGAAATTGGGGAAAGTTTGACTCAAATTCTCCCGGTTTCTAATGGCATTTCTATACACAAGTCGAAGAAATAGGTGATTCAGATATCAGGGATGATCTTATGAATCTTCTTGGCAAACAAGCACATGAGTTGACCATGGCTCATCGAAGGAAAGACGTCAATACATCGAAGGAAAGACGTCAATAAGATTCTCGAATATGTGGCTCAAGACTTTGCGGAGGAGAGTAAAATTATCCAACAACAAAAATACCTAGTACCGAATGAAGTACAAGTAAAACTTGCATTAGAGAAGTATACATGTTTTTTTAGCTACACGGAGATAGTTCGGATAAAGGTATTCATACTCTTATTTGAACTCCTAGTATTGCGCTAGATTTTGATATTGCCGACGCTATGTTGAGGAATGTCGTTTTGGGTGGAGGTTCAACCTTGTTCATAGGGTTGGCTCAACGCCTAACAAAAGAAATGTAGGATGTTATAAATGAAGTGGGGAAGATGAGGGTCTATGAAAGAATGGGAGGTAGAAGTGCATTGATAGAACTTTCTTGAGGTATATCAAAATTTTCATTTTTCTCATACAACATTAATTGCTCAATACCAATATGTTTGCTTGTCTTTGGACTAAAAAAAATATTTGACTACCAAGCTTGGTGTATGAAGAGAGTTTAAAGGTGGAAATGTATAGCGTCTTTGGATATTGGTGAATTATATGTCTGTTTAGATTCTCAACTTGGATATTTTTTTGGAGTTGATTGAATGAACCAACTGAAATGGTTTGTGTTAATGTTGACGTTGTATCCGT